AGCTGCCAGAGCCAAAGCTGCTGCTGCATACCCCATGCTGTGGCAGCAGTTCTAGGCCCAGCACAGGTCACATGGTGGCAGCCACTGCAGCATGGGCAGCGATGGGGCTGACGATCGAGGAGCTGGGGTTGCAGCAGTGGTGACAAGTAAAAAGACCAGAATGCAACAAGGGTTGTATCGGCTCCCACTTGTCCTCCTGACACCATTCTGCATGTCTACTGGGGCTCAAGGGCCCCAGATTCTGCAACAGGCCACTTTGCTCCCCACCTGTAGGTTTGACACCCCTAGAAGTGCCATAGCATCTTTCAACCCCACTGTCTTCTTTGCAACTCAACTGTGTCATTCAGAGTAACTTCACAGCTGCTGTAACAGCATCTGTCTCCCTTGTAACTTATCAAGCCAGGTTTAATTGTGTCAGAAAGTGAAGGTGAAACAGCCATCGCAGGGCTGCTACTGGAAGCCTTGAAAAATGAAAAAATCTAGTCTGGCTTCATGGCTGCGCTCACCCCCTCCATTCAAGGCTTCTATTAGTGAGTTTAGGAATGCTACTGGAAGCCTTGAAAAATGCAGGGAGCTAGTCAGTTTGAGAGCTATTAATGTCACAACACTGTCAGCTTTTCAGTAAATGTTCCTTAAATACTAAAGCACTGACAGTGCTATATCCACAGCCCTGAAGTTGCCTGGTTCCTCTCATTTTCAATGCTGCTAGTAGTTCCAGAGCTGCTATCAGAAGCTTTGAAAATGTGGGGAGGTCAGCAGTTTCAAGGTTAGTGATACCATAACACTGGCAGTGCTGTATACTTAAGCAACACTGTTCACACTGAGTTTGGATAAGTGCATAGTCTTTTTCCAATCCTGAGGATAACACATTTAGACATAGTACACTGAATAATACAGGGGTCGGCAACCCCCAGCACGTGGGCCGAGCATGGCATGCAAGACCATTTTCCTCAGCATGCATTGGAGCCAGGGCAGGGAGGCAGCACCTGTTTGCTGGCCCTGGGTAGCTGCTGCCAACCAGGAGCCCCGGCTGCTCCCAGTGGAGGCCTGTCCAGATACAAAGGCTCATTTGTTCTTGACATGTGATCCCAGTCAAGGCGGCAGTCCGGACACATCTCCTTTATTGTACCGGAGGTACACCAGCGCCACACACAGCTTTGGCCTCAATGGCTCCTTTCTGAGACCCGGCTGGAGCTGAAGTACACACAGGCACAGACAGCGCAGGATTGCCACGTGCCTGCACCCTGCAAGATTTTGTAGGCAGTCCCGCACTGTGCTCAAACCTCCCATCCCCACACATAGGGTCATGACCTACCCCCCATCTTCCCTGAGCCAAACTTCAGCTCGTTTGTGTCCTCTCTAACCCGCTTGCTACTTTTGTCCTCAGAGCTGAGTAAGTTTTGGTACAGCTGTGGGGTGGGAGAGAACCAGGGAGGCCTTCGTCTCACAGCTGCATCCACTCCGAGTCAGAAGCGCTTCAAAGAGGCATAGAATAGTAAAGCCCAACGGGCCCTCCGGGTCATCTAGTCCAGTCCCCTGCTCAAACCAGGGTCATCCCTAACTGAACCATCCCAGCCAGGTGTTTGTTCAACCCACTCTTAAAACCTTCCAGGGATGGAGCTTTTACCACTTTCTGCAGCAACGTGCATCAGTGCTTAATCACCTTCTCAGTTAAGAAGCGCTTCCTAATCTCCAATCTAAACTCTCCTTGTCCTGCCTCCTGAAGCCACAGAGAATAGCTCAAACGAGAGAAGAGCTGCAACCAAAGAACTGCTCTGCTATTTCTCTGCACTCAAAAAATGAGTGAAAACTAAGAGCTGGCATTTTCTGAATGGTGCCTAAAGTCTCTTAAGGGGGTGTCCCAAGCCTGAAAAGGTTGAGAACCACTGTTATAAAATAATGTTTCCAAGCCAAGTCTTTTCATAAAACATTGATTGCCCCAGTGGCTGCACATCTGCTAGTGGAGGAAGTGTCCCCAGTAGCTGGTCAGGCAGGTTCTGGGTACCTGCTAATAGCCACAGAGCCTGGGCTAGGGGGCAAGGGCACAAGCAGGGCTGGGAGACAGGGGCTTTGGATGGGGGGCAAGGGACACAAGCAGGGCATCCTGCCATGTACCCCCTGCCCTCATTCTGTTTTTCTGGCATGCCAGCCCTCCGGCACCTTCTAAGGTAGTCACTGTGGGTTTTTTCAGCACTCTGGCCAAAACATTGCCTACCCCTGGAATAACAGAATGATTTCTGCTATCATAATGGCCCTTGACAAGTAAAATCCAATCCAGGCAATGAAGTGTGGTACAACAAGAAAAAAAGGACAGCCATCAGATAGTTTAGAATGTCTCTTGCATGCCAAGAAATGCGAGTTGGGTAGAAGCAAAGAAAGGATTACACTATTCTTAAGACATACTCCAAACTGGGGGAGTATCAAAAGACAAAGCAAATCTTTCCAGGCTATTCTTAGAGGAAGCAATCAATCACTTTCTCTATAGCAGAAGGCTGAACACACTGCAAATTTCTTCAGAATGGAGAGCACTGTCACTGCCTGGAAAATGTTATCTTACAAGTCAATAGCTCAGAATAATACATAGGTCCACAGTCAACTTAATCTCTGTGCTGACTACTCTGTTCCCTTATCTTTTGTACTCATACTCTCTATACTTGAAAACCATGCCAGCTATTCCATTTATCTTTAATAAGAACTGTTACCTAAAACTGTGTATCTTTCCAAGTAATTCACATTTAATTAAAACACCTTGGATGTTTTAGTCATTCATGAAGCTAAGCAAGCACTGCCACCAACACAAAATGTAGGAATTTAACTGGGGTTTCCAAAAAGCAAACCTACTAGTGCTGTACCATTTGCAGGTAGGCCAGGCCAAGATTCATCAACATCTTCAAACATTTAATACATCTTAATCTGTGTTAAGTCATCTTTTTGGTACATTTTATAGTATTATGTATTAAAGGCAATTCAGAGATGTCCAGTCTGCTTTCCCAACTGTACTAGGAGAGTTGGGAGCAAATGTATACAAATTTACATAAAACATCAATTAAATCAGACTATAAAATATAGTACTACAGGAAGGAAAAAATGGACCAAAGAAAATTAAGAGATTAACAAAAAAGAATTATAAACACAACTGAGAATAAATAAGGAATACCACTTAAGCATCTACTGCAACTTCATATCTGTGAAACAGCTTAGATGTTTTAGTCATTCAATTGGCAAATTTATGGGGATCGATAACAGCCACTTCCACACAGCGATCCTGAGTAACATCTCTGATGGCCAAGAGCTCCCCAATTGACAAAAACACCAAAGCACACAGAGATAAAGATACAGACCCCATTTAGTCACATGAAAGAAGCAGCAGCAAATTTATTTAAATATAATTTTAGGAAATGGATTTTTAGCTCTGGATGTATTTAATATATTTCACCAAGTTATTTTTCTACCTGTCAAATATGTTGCCCTTTTCCAACACACTTCTAAAAGCAGAAGCATAGAAATCAGCTTTATTTAGGCATAAGTCATATCATTGATACACCACAAGTCATGTTTTTTGAGAACACTAAATCTGATGCCTCATTATGGCACACTGGGGAAGTTTATTTGGGTTGACGCCTTTCAATCCTTTGCTTAGTTCTCTCCTCTCCATCCCTAGGGTACTAAGTACCATTATACCAGGTCAATGCAAGACACTGCGTTCTAAATAGGAAGCTCTCCAAACTGAACCCTTTGGAGTCAGAGGGCTTTTTAAAAATGTATATGTTTTACTGATTTAAATTAAGCATGCCAAATTCTCCTAAAAACAACACTAACAATATTCTAGGCCACTAATTCTCAACAAGGGAACTGAGGCACCCTGGGGTGTCCTGGTGCCCTTTCAAGAGTGCCATGACATGCTACACAATATTGGCATTGTTACATGTGCAAACATGATTCACAAGATAAACTCAGAAATTTCTAAAACAGAATTCGTAGTGTTAAAACCATTCTGACCTGTTGCAGGCTTTCTGAGTTTTTCCACAACAGAACAATGGCTCTGTTATTTCTCTGCAATCAAAAACCAAGTAGAAAGCTATGAGCTGGCATTTTCCAAGGGGTGCCTCAAGTCTCAAAGGTTGAGAACCACTTCTCTAGTGTAAGAGTGATGATGTAGCCATGATAGTCCAGAAATTATGCGACGGGCCAGGACTTCTTAGGGTGGTCTTTTTTTTTTTTTTGTAACCATGTCATTGGGATAAAGTTAGACAAGCTTTCAAATGTCTTACAACAGCTGGGTAGGAGAAGCGACAGATTTGTACACTCAAGGGCAAGGACATTACCTGAAGAAATAGCTCACAAGCTATCCAAAAGCTTATTTAACTTTGTCCCAACAACATAGTTGGTCCAATAAAAGATATCACCTGAAGAAACCCTTCCCTCTTGCACCCATTTCTCTTGACAGGCACTTCCTTTGCATCCTATTAACATGAGAAATGCACCAACAAACGTGCAAGAAAGCAGGGGAGTGTCCAGATCAGACGCTGGTAAGTTGAGCAACGGCCCCCTTCCCACAAAGAGCTACTGGTGACACCTCCAGCAAGTGATTTGGGAAGTGAATCTTATGACAGTCTCGTAGAAGTCGGATGACCCTGAAAAGACTCTTCTGATGGGAAGAAAAAAAACAAACCACGGGGATACGTCACCGAGCGCGTGCCAGGCCCCACGGCCCAGGGAGGGTGCGGACACTGTGCAGGGGCCCGAAAGTGGGCGGCAGCTTTCCAAAACGGTTGTAAAGAAGGAAGGAAAGGAGGTGGGGCCGAGTTTCCTGCTCGCCCCTCACGGAGGCACAAGCTACAGCGACGAGCGGAGCCTCTGCAACCCCGGGACCCCCCCAAGCTCCCGAACCGAGCGCCAGGGGAAGGGGTACCCGCCCCCGTCCTGCTCCACGTGGCGGCCGGCGCTGCGCTGGGAGGGCCTGCGGTGCACACCCCGCGGCCAGGCCGAGCCGCGCCTACCTGCACCCCGGCTGCCAGGCCGCAACCCGGAACTGCCTCGCTGGCTCCGCCACCACCCCACAAGGCACCGCGGCCGCCCTGCCACCACCCCTCCGTCTCTATGGTGCGAGGAGGGAGGGAAAGCGGCCACGGCGGGGGGCAGTAGAGAGGAGGGCTAGAGCGGCTTTTCCAGGCCCCTCCTGGCTGTGGCTACACCGGGTTGGACGGGGCGGGGCTTGGGGGCTCCAGCCCCCTCCCCTCTCTCGCGGAGCTGGAGCGCCGAGCACGTGGCGTCGGGGTGTCTCGTGCTGCGGGGCTCGGTGCAAGCCTCTGCGCCGCGGGTTCAGGGGCTATTGGCCGCCTCCGGCGGGAAGAGATTTAACACTCGCTGTTTGTATTGCAGAAGCGGCTGGGATTTTTTTTTAATTTTTATTTTATTTTATTTGCTGTATTGATGTCGTGGATTTATATTGCGCCCTTCCCAACAATGGGTCAGGGCATTTTACAGTAAGAGAATGAAATAATTTATAACTCATGGACTCAGGCTCTACTGGTCTTGGTGTTGTATGAACTTTGAAGAGGGAGGGCCTTGCTACACTAATTTTAGGCAGCTCCTGGTGCCTCTTAACCCTGGATTGTTGGCACTTGAACACCTTAAGGTGGCTTTAAGCATTGGTTATTTTATGTGCCTCAAAGTTATGCTACTGCAAGACAGGATTATTACTGGTCAGTGCCACCCAGCTCCTGTTCTGTTAAGGCAGGGGCGGGCAATTATTTCGGGGAGAGGGCCGCTTACTGAGTTTTTGGCAAGCCATTGAGGGCCGCATGACAGACAGCCAGGGCCAGATAAATATTAATTTTTTAAATCACCAGCTCTCTAGTGACAACTCGCAGGTACGGCTCGTAGTCCTGCCCCTGCTCACCAGGCCTCGAGGTGTTTCTCAACCTGTGGGTCATGACCCAAAAGTAGGTTGCAAGAATATAAGAAAGGGTCATGAAGAAACTTTAAAAACGGATCAAGGGTTGTTGGTTGTAGCCGTGTAGGTCTAAGGAAATAGACAGAAAAGGTTCTTTGGGTAGATGTGATATCTTTTATTAGACCAGCTAACTAGTTGGAAAAATTGCTCTTTGCAAGCTTTGGAGTATAAACACCCTTCTTCAGGCATAGGGAGAGTCAGCGAACTTTAAAAATGGATTCTCCCTTATAGGAGGAAAAGTGGGAAACCAGGGCTTTTCCCTTGCAGGCTGGCAGAGTTCCAGTTTACAAGGGGCTGCTTACCCCCCTCCGCCCCACACCACTTCTGGCCCACATACTGCGGGGTTGGGATGGGGGGCAGCAGTCAGGAGTGAGGAGCACGGGCTCAGGACTGGCCATCAATGTTTACAAATGGGTCCCCGTACAAAAAACATTGAGAAGCACTGCTCTAGAGGCAAGTCACAGCTGCGCAGGTGGGGGACAGTCCGAGAAGGATTCTAGACTAAGGGTGTGACCGCTCCAAACTCCAAGCTAAGATTGACATCGATCAGCATTTGTGCAGCTCACTGCTGTAACAAGGCCCAGAGACAATCTCTGACATGCCAAGTTTTCAGTCTGAGGCAGTGACTGACACGGGTTTAGCTCCTACCTCCCTTACCAGCTGGAATTACGCCTCAATCATACTGCAACTGGATGTCAGCGCAACTGTCTGGACAACAGTTAATCACCTTTTATTGGTCAAAACTGGCCTTCTTTCTTTGCAGATATCATTACCGTTTTATCCTTTTTCTATTTCTACATTAAACTTTTTTTTTTTTTTTTTACTTTGAAACATTCTCAAATGAATCTTCCAGTGGGACTAAACTCACCACAAATCATTGAGATGTTTTTGTTACAGACACAGAAAGCTATAAATGAACTATTCAAATAACACATGTTGATTAACAGACTGAAATACAAAATTGCAAAAATTAAATAATGCTTCAAAATGTTTTTTTTCCCCCAGATAGTGTACATGAGACCTATACTTTCATGTTTTACAGTCAACTTTCTAGCCCTTCTGGTTGTGCAGATAACCTTCAGAATGTAAACTTGTGTAGTATTGTCTGCATGCAACCAGAGTACTCAAACAATAGCGTTGAGAGAAATATGAAGGTTCCCTATTCATGCGGTGTTTACTCTGCAGTAATCTAATTTACAAGTCAAACACTAACATCTTAACTATTTCACTGCTGACTCAAATCAGAGAAGCAATTTTTTTTGGTGATATATTTTATTGGACCAATTATATGATTGGGAGAGATGTTAAACAAGCTTCAGGTACACAATGCCCCTTTTGAGGTCTGGGAAAGAAATGGGTACAGTCAGTTAAACAACACTCAGAAACATCTGGAGTTTATAGTACACAGATGACTTTTTATTAGAAAATACAAATCAAGCTGCAAGTTTTGAATCCAGCAAAGATCATTTGAAAGATTTCTTATTATTCTTCTAGTAAAATACACACCTTTTTTGAAGGAACTTTTAATTGTTGCAGTGGAACTATTTCAAATTCAAAGCTCCTCAGTATACAGTACCTAAAGCCTGCCAAATACTCCCACCTGGGTGCACAGAGAAGACAGGATCAGACATAATTAGGGACCTACCGAATTCATGGAGGAAGTGGGGTGCACTGTGGCTCCTTTAATTTTGCAAGTTCCCCCGATCCCCCCCACCTCCACTGGTCGGTGGAGGGGCCTCACTTGTAGCTTGTTCCTGATGATCAGTGGGGAAGTGAAAACTGCAGTTTTAAATATGGCACCATTTATGCCTCCCACAACTGATTGGCTAAGGGGCCCCAGATGGCCCTGCTGTTTGCTGCTGACTGGCAGGGAGACAAAAATGTTGCTCTGTTTAACACCCTGGTTTTAGCTTCCCTGCTGATCAGGAAGGAACAGCTGGGTCCCCTACTTAGCAGCTGGGGGGGAGAGGGGCCAGGGGAGAGGTGTGCGCAGGGGAACATGCAAGATTAAACGATGCACCACACATTCTACTTCCACCATGAATGCAGTAGGTTCCCTAGGCATAATATAAAGTCCAGATAATGATTCTGCAAATGTCCTACAGAGAAGGTGGAGCTCATCAGGCACTTTTACAGCACTGTTCTCTCCCTGAAGAGATCTCTGTCTAATATCAGGACCTGCATGACGGGCTGCACAGCCCAGGGGCAGTTTCAACCCCATGTACTGACTGGGTGCAGGGTCTCTGTACTGAAAACTCCCTTTAAGAAATGTTTTATGGAAAAGTCTACATTAGAAGATTTGCAGAAGGCCATCACATCCATTTCTGGGAACAAGGCATCTGGCAATGACTGCTTGCCTGCTGGAATCTACAAATGTGCCATTGACAAATTACTTTGAAAGGTCCATACAGTGATACTGCTTTGTTGGAAACAGGAAGTGGTACAGGAAGATTTCAAAGATGCTTGGTTTGTACAATTATACAAAAACGAGGGATAGAAGCGATGTGACAACTATAGACATATCTATCTCCCTGTTGAATATTGTCAGAAAAGTTGTTAATCACATGATGCTCCCTAGGTTACAATCTTTAGGTGAAAGAATCTATCCTGAAAGTCAGTGAGGTTTTTGCTCAGGACACTTCAGCATTAATATGATATTTTCAGTCAAGCAACCACAAAGAAGTGTGGAAAAAAAATGAATAGCACTGTATATAGCCTTCATTGATCTGATGAAGGCCTTTGATATGGTCAGGGCTTTTTTACTGTTCTGAAGAAACTGGGTTGACCCCCAAACCATTGAACATCATTCACGCACTACATTAAACTATGAAGGAAACTGCAGTGTATGAAAACAAATAATCAAATGCTTTTGACATCAACAATGGGGGTATGTCTTAGCCCCGTGCTCTTTAACATCTACTTTTCATTCCTGCTTCATGCATTCAAGGACAGCAGTGATGGCATTATCTTCAAACCACTCTAGATGGAGGCTTGTTCATTATTGCAAGGTTTAGAGAGAAAACCAAAGTGCAAGAGCTGGTTCTGAGAGACTTCCTGTTTGCAGTTGATGTGGCCTTGGTTGCCGACAGTGAACCTTCCCTGAGCTTTGGGTTGACAGTAAGTCTAAAAAAAGACTGTGATCACGTACCAAAGGGTGGAAAAACCAGTGGTGCCTGACATCACTCTGGAGGGTAAATCTCTTGGTGTCATTGTCAGCTTTTGCTACACGAGTTCTACAATCAGCAGGAATCTGGACCTTCAGACTGAACTAACTAACAGAATCAGAAAAACAGCTAAGAATTTTGGGCTATTACAGAAACGTGCATGGAACAACAACAAACCATCAGCTAAGGTGAAGATGCAAATCTACAAGGCTTGTGTGCTGTCATCCCTGCTTTATGGTCCAGAAACATGGACTACATATGCTAGGCGCATCAGAAGACTAAACAGCTTCCACGTGGTCTGCCTGCATACTGTCCTGAAAATAAAGGGGGAAGACAAAATGCCAAACATAGGTACTAGAGTGCACAGAACTGGCACACTTAGAAGCCACTATGAAGAAGAGGAGGTTGCAATGCTTTGGCCATGTCAGGAGAATGGGAGGAGACCTTGTCCCCAAGAATACTTTGTACAGTGCGATTTAAAACAGCTGGAGAAAATGCGGTTCTCCTTTATGGCATTACCACAACGTGTGCAAAAATTATACAAAGTCATTCAACATCAATGTATAAAGTTAGGAGGAGTGTGCAGAATCCCATCTAATTTTGGAAGGAACATCTGACACTGGGTGGAGCTCAACATGAAGCAGCTTTGATCCAGAAGTGAGAGGCAAAGTGAAAAAGAAGGAGCACTGTGCTGTAAACTTGGACTTCAGCTCAGACAACGCATGCATCTTTGAAGCCTGTAACAAGCTGTGTCACTCTTAAATTGGGTTTGTCGGCCGCAAGTAGATTTATTGGGCACCTGGCTAGACCTCTTATGCATACACCATGATCCAGAGGATCAATGGCTGTCTATTATGGAAAAGTTAACCACAGCCAAAGGGAGCCCTAGAAGCACTGAAGCCAATGATCTGGAGATGTTGGGACTCAGCCCCAGTGTTGTGGATCTATGGACCCTTGCAGGAGAGTTTGTTC